TTTTTTTTTTTTTTTTTAATCTTTTATTTTTAAGCAGTTTAGGTTCACAGAAAAATTGAGAACAAAGTACAGAGATATGTACATAGCCCCCTGGGTTGTCGGCGTCCCCACCAGAGTAGTACATTTGATACAGCTGATGAACCTACACTGACACCTCATTATCACTCAAGGTCCATAACTCACCTTAGGGTTCACTCTTGGTGTTGTATATTCTCTGGGTTTGGACACATATATCCATCATTATGGTATACTGAGTATTTTCACTGTCCCCCAGCCCCTGGAAATCACTGACCTTTTTACTATTTCCATAGTTTTACCTTTTCCAGAATGTTATATAGTTGGAATTCATATAGTATGTAGCCTTTTTAGATTGGCTTCTTTCACTTAGTAATATGTATTTAAGGTTCATCCATGTCTTTTCATGATTTGGTGGCTCATTTATTTTTAGCAATGAGTAATATTCCATTGTCTGGGTGTAGCACAGTTTATCCATTCACCTGCTGAAGGAAATCTTGATTGCTTCTAAGTTTTGGCAAGCAAAACTGCTATAAATATCCAAGCTGCTATAAATATCTATGTGCAGGATTTTCAGGTGGACATAAATTTTCAACTCCTTTGGGTAAATACCAAGGAGCATAACACACATATATTTTAACACCAGCTTTAATTGTTAATTTGGTTTTCTAGCATACAGTTACCTCCTTCCATATATATGCAGTAAACAAATCTATTATAGGATTGACTCACACTTATTTCATTACTTTGGAATATTCTAGTTTGTTTAGAACTTGAGCATCAATCATTTGTATACTAAAGTATTAACACATAATTACATATTTGTTTTTACAAAGAAATTGGTAAAGAGATTAATTCTAATATTTTTAAGCAAATAAATCCAAAATTATACCTTTAACAATCTGTTGCCCCTTCGTTGTAGCCACCTTGAGAGGCTACATTCATTTTCCAATACTTAGCCCTTTTGGGAAAAGTCTCTCACAGGATGGGGATTGGGATAATGTCTTCGAATGTTACCAGCTTTGAGAGAAAATTAGCTTTAATACTGATCATCTTACCTGTTTTTGAGTTGCAAACTATGTTACCTAGCTTAATCACATTGTTTACCTTATTTGCTGACTTGGCCTGAATAATTTTGCTTGTTTCTATGAAATGAGACACCATTGAACAGCAGGAAGTTTCCATGTTCCAGTAGTCCATGGTGTCAGGTATCCTAAAGAAGTTTCTAAAATATTTTAAATCCTGAGAGAATCTTGGCAGTAAGTGCTGTTGCCTCCCAGGTGGGGTTCTTTGGATGTGCTAATCCTGATGTCCTTATTATAAAATGAATCACATTACTATCTAGTTACCTTTTATATGCACATAAGTATTTTCTTTCAACATGGAATTCTGGGCTTTTTTTGTTTACAACTCCCTTTTTGTGTGCTTATTGCTCACAGCAAAGCAGCCCAGGTCCCAAAGCTCGAACCTGTATGAGTGTTCACCTGTCAATTAATTACTTAAATATTTGCTGAGGACTTAGATTTTATTTACCTCGGAACTTGTTATACTAAGGATTGTAAGAAATGTAAACCAGAGGTATCATCCTAGCACTCAAGGAATTAGGGTGTAATTGGAAAGCTGTCTTAAGACCAAACTATTACTGTTTTTAAATTAAAGAAACAAGTAAATTTATTCAGTAACTAACTCGTTTTTGATCACTTCCGTGTCACCAGATGGGTGAGGGGAGAGTCCTGTCCTAGAGTTATGGCAATGGCTAAACATAGCACACCCAACCCTGGACAGATGAGACTGACAACAGCTTATTAGTCACAGATACTCACAGCCTGGGGGCGGAGAACATCGCTGTGCCATGCAGAGCCCCTGGTATTTGCACTTGAGAAGAGAGTGAGTGAGCAGGGACTGTGGGAGGCAGGCTTTGTAGTAATAACAGGGTTAGCTGACCCTTGGTTGCCACCCGAGGATGTGATTGACTTGTTGGAGCAATTCCATGGGCTGATGGGGAACTGAAACCCATATCTCAAGGATAAGCAGGCACTGTGACAGGTCCCATGATAAGGAGGGCTGTTGGATAGGGGACCTCACTCATGGAAGCACAATGGGAAGGGGAACTTGTGATTAGGTCATTGGCGGCACTCCTGGTTTTCCCTGATGTCAAGGCACACATAATGCTGGACCTTAATTTTAGGCCTAATACCACACTACTGTGTAGAAGACTTTGAATTAAATGCTGTAGAAAACTTAAGCATTTGTTATAAATAGCACTTGCCCTTAGGAAGTATGCAGTCAAGTAGATTTGTAAGTCTAATAAATATAAAATTATGTGTCAGCATAAATGTAGTAAAGTCACCGTCAGAGACCCACAGAGCTCAGAGAGCAGGAATCTAGGAAGGCTTGGTGGGAAAGAGTGTAAAATTTTAGCTAGATCTAAAGGAACGGATATGATTTCAGCAGGTAAAGAAAGGAAGTTAGCAGGTGAGGGGACTGTCAAGAACAAAGACATAGAGACAGGAAAGCAAAGGACACGTTCCAAAATGTTAGGTAATCTAATTAGAGCTTGGAACACACAGAAGTAGCTAGAAGTAAAAAACAAAAAACAAGGGTCAGGTTGTTTTTTGAAGGGCTTTTAATGAATTTCTACCTTATTTTTAGGCAATGGGGAGCCAAAGAGAGTTGTATGCTGGGCAATAGAATAGCCAGAGCTGCTTGCGTTTAATCTGGTAGATTCGTGTATGGTGGCTGCACTGGAAGGAAAGGCTGAAGTTAAGGCATTTAGGAAGCTGTTACAGTGATCCAGGTGAGTAATAGACAGATTCTGAATCCAGACAGCAGAAATGGAAATAGTAAGAAAGTGACAGATATAAATGAGAGGAAGGCAGAACTGATCATATTTGAAGAGGGAGAGGTTAGAGCCCTAATGTTCTGAGTCAGGGCAACTGACTCAAACCCTTTACTGTGCAGTATAGAACACTCGATGCTATGGGGCAGCATTTGGAAATTAATTTGCTGGAGGGCCTCATATTTATTATAAGCTTTACACCTCCCAAGCACTGGAGAAATGGAGAATACTCTGAAGAGTGTTTTTCCCTCCTCAGTGATTTAGTCGTGACATGAGCTGTGACATCTACTCGTTTTACATATAGCTTCCGTCCACCCTCAAATTGGCTTCATTGGAGTCCCAGTGACACGACAGTCCTCATGCATGGAAAGGGGCTCTGCCTGAAATGGGGCCACCGCTCCTGGTGAGTTTGCCAAAACCCTCTTGTTAGCAGATACCGTCCTGGGAGATGCTTACATTTTTAAATGGCTAATTCCAGTTTTTATTGAGGGTTGACTATAGGCCATGATGAGAAAATACATGGTACAAGGTGGAGTCCATGCCTCCAAGAGCTTGTACCAGCAAATTCACAGCTTAATTCATCAGATTCCCCCTTGTCCTCCTCACCCTCTTGCTCATTTCTCACTTTCCCAAGAACCAAAAGGTCACTGCTGCCAGGAGCAGGACAGGTGTCAGTTTCACTTAGACTATTTGTCCTCAGAGCACTTGACACTTTCACTCGCAGCATCAGTTCCCACCTAGATGCTTGAGATGAAGGAAGGTCCCAGGACTATTCAGTACGAGAGTTATTGATGGAATGTTGTTCAACACATTTTCTATTAAATGCAGGTTCTAAGTCTCTGAGAATAAGCAAAACAGGTAGAAAGCCATAATCCATATATTAGAATGATAGACTCAGATGGATCAAAAACACAATCTTCAAATTTCCGATGAGCCACCATTTAGTAGAAAAATTAAACCAATTTGTATTGGCTCCAGTGGAATGATTTAAAACAAAGTATTCTTAACTTCAAACAAATTTCTTTTAATAAATCAGTCATCCAGACTATTGATTCAAATTTGGTTCTTGCTCTGTGGAAATATTCAAGCATAAGCTAATCTGCTTTTTAGAAGGAAATAGTGAAGGGAATTCAAGGAGCTATTAGGTGGGTTGGACTAGACCTTTAAGGTCTTCCTCAAACCTGAGAATTTATGGTTCTTAGGTACAAAGGATTGGTAAAGAATTATGAAACTTATGTTGTTGGGCCAAGCGGTCATGTTGTGATTTGGAATTCTCATGACTTTTTATCTGTACCTTTGGTCTACTTTGTGGTCTATATAATATGTATATGTCTTGTTTTCTCAGCTAAATGCTGTTTGATTCCTCCTTTTAAATCTTAAGTGTCTGGTACAATAATTAATTCATGAAGGCCCTTGAAAAATATTCATGAAGTAGATAAATTAATATACAAATATAAAAATCATATGCAAATATAAGAGTCTTTGATCCCCACCCCAAACCTGGTTTTCCCTGTGTGTTTGTGTGTGTATACACACCACATATTGGTTTAAGGGCAGAATCTATTACCCATTTGTTAAAACCAAAAACCAAAAACCTGGTCATCCATCTATTACATCCCATATTCTATCTGCTGGCAAGTTGCAACCCAGCTCTAATTTCAACCTATATCACATTTCAATGACTTTTCACAGCCTCCAACACTATCGCTAGTCTACACCAGAGGTCAGTAAACTACAGCCCTATGGGTCAATTCCACCCTGCATCCTGTTTGTGTAAAGAGCTTTAATGGAACATTGTCAACATCATTTCATTTACATGTTGTCTGTTGCTCTTCCAAGGCTGAAAGGGCTGAGTTGATAGCAGAGGTGTAACAGAGACCATATGGCCCACAAAGTCTGAAGTATTTACTATATAATCTTTTAGAGAGAAATTCTGCTGACTGGTCATCAGATTTTCTATGACATATCCTGTTTTTGTTTTTATAGCCCTTTAAATATGTAAAAACCAATAAAAAATAAAAATATAAAAACCGTTGTTAGCTCACTGGATTTCCAATACAGGCCACAGGAAAGATTTGGCCCATAGGCTCTACTTCACCAACCCCTGTTCTAAACCCATGATCCTTTCCAGGCATAAATCAAATCACATCACTTCATGTTAAAAATCTATTATACTTTTAAAAAATCCAAATGTCTTACCATGGTTTATAAGACCTTTGGGATCCAATACATCTTACCTCTCTGACTACCTTGTAATCACATACTCCATCCAACTAGCTTTGCTCTGTCTACACTTGACTCTGGCAGGACCTCAAACTTGGCAAGTGTGCCTCTGTCTTACAGCTTTGCACTCTTTATTTCTCTGCCCAGAATACTTTATACAGTTCTTCTCAGGATTGCTCTTCTCTTTCAGGTCAGAGGGTTTACCTCACTATCCTACTGAAATAGCTCCGACTCAGCCCCCAGCCACCCTCTATCTCTCTTCATGATTTCTTCAGAGCAGTTATGTGAAAGCTATTTTTACTTGTCTTGCTCCACTAGAATGTAAGCACCCTGAGGAAAGGCATGTTGTGTATGTGGCTCATGGCCACATGGCCAGCTCCTACTGGTGCCTGGCCCCTAGTATATATCTAATAACTATTTGTTGAATGGATAATTGGCTAGTTATATATAGTGAATATCCTTTCCCTTTGTCAACTGATTAGGCTCTTGGGAAGGAGTTTACACTGACTTCCTCCTGAAAGTACCCCTTCCTAGAGTCTCTCACTTGCTACGCCTATGTATCTCCAACAGACAACGGGCATCTTTTTTGTCTCTGAAGAGGATTCATGTTTCCTCAGGTTACTGATGTGACTTTTAAGACCAAACTTTTTGACAACCATTTTGGCAAGTTGGTTCATTTCCAGAAGCCCAAGCCTGATAAGAAGAAATAGGAAGCTCACTTTGAACTGGTCCATTATGCGGGAGTGGTAAGTGACCTCTGCACCTTCAGCCTGACTGTTTCAAGTGCACTGAGCCAAAGCCCTTAGGTAATATATTAGCTAAAGTTTAGATTAAATGAAGAGATGAACAAAGTAAATCTCAGTTCCAGACAAAAAGTTGGCGTAGCCTTTTTGCATGTGGGTAATGAAATACTTATACTGTAATAGTTTTCCATGTGCACAGAGGTCAGACATCTCAAAATAGACTCTGTGACCCCAACTCAAAGACAGCTTCAGAAAGTCATGGAGACTATCAGAGTCATGGGTTTTTCCTCATTTGTCCTTCCTTTTAACTTAACATTGTATGAATGAGTTATTTCAATTGATCTTTTTATTGAAGATTTTAAAAAAATTCTCACATAAAGAAATAGTCACTGTGAAGTAATGGTCTCCAACCTATGGCCAACAAAGGTTTCTAATGACCCTCAGTGCCTCTTCTCATTTCCCGATGTGTGTGTGTGTGTGTATGTATATGTGTCCCTTTTCATGTTTCTGGTCGTTGATTGTAGATGGAACAGAAAGAGAACTGAAAAAGGATAAAATACTACTTCAACCTAAAAACGACCAGCCAACTGTACAGATATGCTTGTAATTCTCTTCTTTGATATCCTTGAATATTAATTATAATATTTATGGCAAAAGACCATTATAATTGCTGATGGTTTTTTGAATGCTCACTGTGTGTCAGAGACACTTGGATAATCTCAGCTATTCTTGCCCATGAAGGAGTGCTGATGTGAATTGTTTCTACTGGAAATACCACCTATTTCTCCCTCTCCCTCCCTCTCTTCCCCTTCTCTTCCTTCCTTCTGCAATGTAAACGGTAAAGCCCGAGAATCTCTTTGGGTGGTACAGTGGGCTTATTGGAGTATTATTTAGTACTGTTACATCAAACTAACTTAAATTTACACGATCCACACAATTTGTGATTTTTTTTAAAGGAATGCATAATTTGCTATATTAATTTATGTATTCTCCTCTTTTGTTGCCTGAACTGCATGTATTTCCAAAGGTACCTTATAACATTAGTGGCTGGCTTGAGAGAAAAAAAACAAAGACCTTCTTAACAAAAGGGTTGCGGCTGTATTTCAGAAGTCATCTAACAGACTCCTGGCAAGTCTTTTTGAAAATTACATCAGTACTGACAGTGGTGAGTCAAACAATCTTCCCTCGTTTTTCAGCCTCAGAATGGAACCCATGGCTACCTGGGCGCTTACAACAATCCTTCTTTCCTGTAATATCTGTGTCTGCTCCGTGGTTTGAGTTGTCCCCTCTTATTAGCCTTTCTGTCCTCAGGCTGGTGGTTCTTAGGGAAATGGTGCTCAAGGATAGATATATTTCAAGGAGCCTGCTGGGACTTGCTTTTATCTTCTGCTTGACCCAGCTGCAAAGAGAGAGCAGCAAACCATGTTTTGATAAATGATTTGGGGAAAATAACAAGCCCCTTTAACAGATATTCCCCAAATACCTTGGAATTCTCCTTCACAGTGCTTTTCTGTTATAATAACTTGGGGTTATTCTAACCTTCATGATGACAAGAATTATGTCTGACTTGTTAAATTGTAGCCTCAAGCATGTAGCCAATGCCTGTTTAGCAGGTTCTCCATGAATATTTATTGATCAGCTAATAACTAATCTTGGTTAGTAGTTTATAATTTACAAGGTACTTTCAGATGTGTTATCTTACTCAGTCCTTGCCATGACCCTTTTAGATACATAGAGAGGAAAATCTCTCCCTTTCTTACAAGAACAAGTGTAAAAGAGTTAAGTAGCAACCCTAGTTTTAGAAACCTACTGAATGGCAAAGCCAACGTAGAAAGCAGGACTTCAGTCCCTAGTCTGGTGCCCATTCCACTCTCACTGCCTCCCAGAAACAAACAAAACAGAGAGATGGACAGGATACACATATTTAGGATGCAATTCAGACTTCTGCACCATTATACAAAGGATTTGAAGATGCTGAGCCTAAGTTGCTAACATCAGCCTCACAACCAAACTAATGCTAGGCTAGCTACAGAGGAAGCTCTCACGATTCATAGCAAAAGGCACAGATTGGCAGCCCGTGAGCGAAACCTGGTTTTCAAACATGGTTGTATTTGGCCTACACAAGTAAATAAATAATCAGAAGATTTCACATACACATTTGGTTTCCCCTTTTCTTTAAAAATAATGAGAATTATGGAAAAATAGAAAATCTGGCCTGTCTGGTTCAGATATCTTCATGGCAATGGGGCAGAACATTAACTCTTTTTTGAGTGGGGTGTGTACTCTTGCCTCCTAACAGTCTCATCCTCCTGTTATCTTACACCCAGCTGCAAGTTAACTCCTGACCCCTGTGGGCTGATTAGGATCTCCTAACATGGTCAAGGGATGGAGAGAGATTTTAGCTCTTCCTGGCTTCATCAGCACCTGATGACATAGTTCGGGAGCATGCCTGAAATCCTGTCAGCCTGTCTCAAGGGGAAGTTGAGAAATGGAATCTATTGTGTTTGGACCCTGATCATCTTCAGGCAGTCCATCTGCTTAATTCTAATAGCTTCTAAAGTGGCTCTGAGAAGTCTGCTAGATAGTGGTCATGTCGCTTATGGCTCCTGGATGAGTAATTCTCTGATCCTAAGAAATCAGAGAGTGGTTTGAGCAGAGAATTAGAGAGGAAATCACCTTCTAACTCTTCAGGGTATGTGCTGTGTTCTTTGGAAATAGAAGAGAATTGTCCAGTATGTCTTTTTCCATAATTCTTTACGCACCCTGTGAAAATACTTGCCTCCAAGTCTCTGACTCATCCAAACATCAAGTTACTTGTAGTAACCCCACTTTCTTCTGGGGTATCCAAGTATTTTAAACCGGTTACAATTTTTAAAAAATTAGTGGAGGGTGGTATACTCCCTTTTCATGCATGGAGAAACTGAGTACAAAGAAGACAAGTGATTCCCTTTGAGGCCCTGGGACATGTCTGTAGGACATTGGTGTTTAAACTTTATGACATCTGTCTCAGCATAGTGCTGCTCAGGCAGAGAGAGTATTTTATTAGTTTTCCACATTGGTAGCTGGCCCATTTTTTTCCAGATTGCCTATGGATTTTGTTGTTGTGCATCTTTGTGAGTTAGCACTACACAGATGTTTGTAAAACAATTTGGCTTAGCATAAATTCTTTTGCTTCAAGAAAATGGAAATAGATTGTTTTTTTTTATAAATTATAAAAGTAATGTATGCGTGTTGCCAAAAACACAGACAATATAGAAAAACTAAAAAGAGAAACGTAAGAATTACCCACAATCTCACATAGGAGATAACAACTGCTAACATTTTGATGTATGCTTCTCCCAACAATTTTTATGTATGTAGTCACCAATAATACAATTGCACTTAAAAACATGTGTACAAACTATTTTTGTGTCCTGCTTTTTCTCTTTAATTAAATCCTAGAAATATTTCCATGTCAGTTATATGGATCCACACCATCACTTAAAAAGTTGAAGCATTTCATGGTATGCCTATTCTTTCATAATTTAATGAACCAACTTCCTACTGTTGGACATTTGTTGACAATTTTATTTTTTTGCTTAATTTTTGTGTAATGACTAAACAGAGCTGCAATGAGTATCTTTATACAGTTGCCTGATTATCTCCTTAAGGAAAGCGCTAGAAATAGACTTTTTTGTGTGTTTTGAGATGTATTTTTAAAACTTTTGTAGATATTGCCATATTGCTTCTAGAACTTTGATGAATATATGCTTTCTTCAGCAGGGTATGGTAATGTGGCAAAAAAGAGCATTTAAAGTGTTTTTTTTTTTTAGCTCTACAGTTTGGGGAGATAAACGCAAGAAAGGAGCTTCATTCCAAACAGTTGCATCTCTGCATAAAGTAATTTTTAATTTCATCTATTCGTATATTAACTGCCTTACAAGCTGCATATGTGATTACTTATTTGAAATTTTACATCTTCAAATAAGAATAAAGTATCTGAAGCTAGCCAACTGGAAAAGTTGAAGTTTATCTTGATACGAATGGCTTTTAGTGGACACTTGGCTTTACTGAAAATACTGGCTCATAACAACTGCTAGTTGCCGGTGCTGCACAGGAAGCGAAGCTGACTCCCCGACCTCAGCTCCAGGCTCGGGCCCCTCCCTCACCTCACGGTGGGACTGGCTGTGATGCTATGGGCGCATTGGTGCTCAGAGCTCCTGCGGGGTCAGACTAAGCAGAGTCTATACCATTGCTTCCCCCACCCTACCCTTCTTCCTTCACTCTCCAAATAAGTCTCTTGAACCAGAATCCTCACTCAGATTCTGCTTCCAGAGAATCTAGTATAGATATTTTCCAGACAAATATCTGAGAAACAATTAATTTCTTCAAGCCATTTTATCGCCCAGCCATACATTATTGGTATCAAATTCAAAACAGGTAGATATGACTCATAATACAACTATGTCAGATAAAGAATTACTTGGCATAGGAAAGAAATCATGTATGTTTTGTAAGCAGAGAAGAATCTTGAATTCATTATTTTATTGTTGGTGTGCATCTTGGTTTTAAGATAAAGTTGATATGGAGACACTTGTAAGGTGGATTAATGTTTTTAGTGATTTGCAAAGTAATTTTGTGTTTGTTATGGTGTCTATTTTAGGATAACCTGAATAAATTGATGACTAATCTGAAGTCAACAGCACCTCATTTTGTGAGATGCATAAATTCCAATGTGAACAAAATGCCAGGTAAGAACTGGATTTCTTTGTAATCTACCCTAGGGCATACATTTAATTTAAGGCATATTGAATGTCTCTTTAAGAAACATTTACCAGTCCCCTTTACATAAGGGTAGATTTTCAGATAGAAGAATGAAAGTAAGTTAAAAGAGAGATCTTTAGAACCTCCACAAGATTGCCTTTAAGTTGAGATTCAGGTGGACATACAGAAGGATTTCACAAAGCAGGCTCAACTTGGTAACAGTAGAATGCTCAATATTATCATTTAAATTCCTTCTTGAATTTCATGCTAAAATGTGGATGAGCTTCTAAAATAAAAAGGGCACCATATAATAAAAAGGGATTGAATAATCAATTGGGGGATTATGATAGACACATAAGTATAAAGGAAATTGTCTGGTCTGAATTATCGAAATTGATCATAAAGACCGTCCCTAAGTCTATTTCTAATTGATAAGAACTCCCTCTCTTCTTTCTTCCCAAGACTAAGAGCTTCCCAAGACTAATATCTTCCCTCTCCCTAATAGTACCTATCTCTTCAGTTATGTACTTCCGGGCAGTGGGTACTTTTTTGTTTCTTTTCTTTCCCAGTTTTATGGAGATGTCTTTGATGTACAGCACTGTATAAGTTTATGGTGCACAGCATAATGATTTGACTTATCTATATGTGAAATGATTACCCCAAACTTAGTTAACATTTATCATCTCATATAGATACAAAAAAAAAAGAAAAAGAAAAAAAATTTTCCTTGTGATGAGAACTCTTAGGATTTACCCTCTGAACAACTTTCATATATCACCAATGGCACTGTTTACTCTAGTCATCACGTTGCACATGCATCCCTAGTATTATTTATCTTATAACTGGAAGTTTGTACTATTTGACCACCTTCATTCAATTTTTCATCCCACCATCCCCCACTCTAATTAGCTACAAATCTGATCTCTCTTTTTCTATGAGTTTGGTGTTTGATTTTCTTTTTTTAAGATTCCATATATAAGTGAGATCATATGGTATTTGTTGTTCTCTGTCTGACTTATTTCACTTAGCATAATGCCCTCAGGGTTCATGCATGTTGTCCCATGTAGCAGAATTTCCTCCTTTTTATGGCTAAATAATATTCCACTGAATATATATACTGTAACTTTCTAGTCCAGTCATCTGTAGATGGATACTTAGGTTGCTCATGTCTTGACTTACTATAGTGGATACTTTTTGATGAGTAGATGGTGGTAAAAGGATTAGTTTTTATGTTTTTAATTGCCCAAACAAGTTTTTACTATTAATTACATGGATCACTTCCTTTATATCATGGGTTTAGAGATTCTCAGCCTTCTCTTCAGAATTACAGGCTTCTATAGAGCTTGGCCAGAGGCTGTCAGCCTCAAAGTTGTGTGTTTGACAAGCACTTACGTCTTTAGAGCACTAATCACCCTTGGAATATGTAGCCAGATGTTGCTGATTCTGATTTCTAAGGTTCTGTAGTATTTTGCATTTTTATTAACCTCCTGTAATTAAGATCCCAATCTTGACAGCCTGTGACCTATTTTTGGAAAGTGTGATGCTAAACAATGATGTTGCAGTTTGAATTTTGCAATGCAAACACTTCATGTTCATTCACGCTGTATGTTTTTGCCTTATTGTTTCTTATCAGCTGGGTTTCTGAATGCATCTAGGGACATTGCTTCCATCTAGCAAGGAATCTAATTAGCTGCCTCTATTTTGGAGTCATTCTGTTACCTATTAGAGTTGCCTCCCACGGAGTCAGGTCTGATTTCAGCAGGGCTGCTTTTTTGTTTTTTTTAAGTCATAAGACTAAGTTATAAGAAAAGCTTCATGATCTAATCAAAACAGCTCTTCATATGTACTTAAAGGAAATGAGCATGCTTGACAGTAAGGTGTCACAGGACCCCACTTTGGCCGCTTCTTACAGATCATCTGTTTCTAGCTGTCAATGGGATGGGAGTACAGGAATATGGGTATACGGCTTTTATTTATTTATTCATGTGACCCTGGACATAGGCAGTCATCTCATTCCTATTTTTCTTAGAACACTATAGTAGGGCTTTGTATTAGGAGGAGTGTTTCTCAGGCTTAGCTTCTTCCAGAAGACTTGCTGAGAGCCAGATACAGCGGCTCCTTCGAAGGTTTTTCAAAGGCTTCTACCTGAGATTGCAGCTCTCCTGGTGCTGCTTTTGACAAAAGCGAAGGTGAGAGGAGGGTGCTTATACCACAAAATGAACTTAGGTGCTGAATGTAGGCTGGAATGTGGCCATGTCCTTCCTAAGGCAAGACAGTAAATGGAATTTTGTTGTTGTTCCATTTCCTATTTCTTTTTATTCTCCCCTCTTGTAACCCCTTTGTCCTACTTGGAGATACCAGTTCCCTTTTGAATTCTTATTTCTCTCTCTAGCTGTTATTTTTGGTGTGTATT